CCACGTAAAAAGTCGAGGTGTCTTCTTCTGCTCGCGTCTTTTCTTTTATCTGTGTGTGTTAAATTTTCGTGCAATGCTAAGACGATAATTTATTACTTCGCCGCGAATTTTCTTGCACGGATCAAAAAGTAAGACTAACTATCATATTTTAATAATCAGAATCATCTTCTCGTCCGTAAGTAAAATATTATGTGTGTAAAAATAAAATTGAATATCATGCGTGTAATTTTCTCTATTTATTTAAAAATATGCATAAACAAAAATATAAATACAAAATTTTCGTGTTTATTGATAAATACATAGAAATTGTATGGTATATATGCAAATTTCTCAAGCACTTGGCACGCAGCCCGCATGCCCTTTTCCATGTATCGAATCCTTAGCAAATCGCGACTTCCCGAAACACAACCACCGACTCCAGAACGTTCCGGAAACGATTCTCTTCTCGGTATCTCCTCTTTCGCGGAGATATTTTTCACTCCCTATAAATTCTGCTCGCCAGTTCCCAAACGCTGATGATTGCATCGGCTCAAGTTCATCCATGGCTGCTGCAGCGGAACAGCGACGATCGGCGGCCTCCTTCTACTCCATTCTTGGTGTCTCGCGCGATGCCTCACGGCACCCGGATCGGTGCGGGGGAGAGCGGGTTCAAGAGGCTAATAGACGGTTTCAGCAAATCCAGGAAGCTTACGAAGGTATAATTATATTAATTATTGTTATTATTTGCAAATTCGTTCCAGGTTTAGTTAGCTGGACTGATAAAGATGTAAAATCTGTTATAGTTCTGTCCGATGAAAGAAGGAGGGCTATGTATGATGCCGGGCTTTATGATCCGCGTAATTGTGAACAAGATGGAGCAGAGGACATTGAGGTAAGGATTAAGCGAATTAATTTTGATTTTAATTAGCTGAATTATAATTTTTTGTGTCGTTGGGCTTAAGTCTTCCAAAGCAGAGGTGATTTGACAATTTTATAATTTTAAAATTCTGTGAAGGGTTTCTGGGATTTCGTTCAGGAGATGGTGCAATTAATGGCGGATGTCAGGAGCAAGCAGGTAATTGATAATTAAACATTTAATGACAACATTATTAGCTAAGTTAGAATTCCCACTTGCATCAGTAAACAATCGTATGGAAGAACTACAAAAAATTAAATTATTTCTGTTTTGCCTAAAATGCTGTAATTTGTTATCAAATTTCATCTTATTAAAAAAAAAAAAAGCATGATTTTAACAGGATCTGGTTGCAGGAGGACTGCACATTGGAGGCGCTACAGCGAATGCTGGCGGAGATGACGGAAAGCTTTTCTGCTCCTCCGATGCCGACATTTCACACCTCGCCGTCTACTTCAATGGTGGATGCCAGAGCAAGGCAGATAAGGTGGCAAGCAAGTGACGGCGACTGGAAGCCGGTGTGGTTTAGTTAAGAATTAACTAGCGTTGTCAGGTTATTAGTTTTTTTATTCTGATATCTCTGTAAATAATCTCCTGTTTGTTGGGTAGAGATCGACATGATAAAGCTGCTGTGTATGACTCTACTCGCAGGGCATAATTCCATGTAACAAAGATCGATAAATGATTTCTGTAAGTAACTCTTCGAGTCTTGATAGTATGTTTGCTGCTTGATGTGTATTTGTTATTGGTTCCGTTATAGGTGGATTATGTGTGTGATCTTATGCACATATTTCATGTTGGTAATCTTCACCATGATTGCATCTTGTACAGTAATTTATTGTGATTTCAGGAACCATCCTTTTGTGTGCCTTTTTGTTTCTTATGTAATTCTCAATGCTCATGTCTACAAACTTTATAGATTATCTATCGCATCGAACGCCCAAATAATTCGAATTGAACAAAGGGAATATATAAGAGACCTTCGGATTTGGTCTATCACTCCATTTGGTCTAGTTTTATTGGAGGAAAATAATGAATTACAAACTAGAAAAGGAATAGAAAGAAATGAAAAAAAAAAAAAAAATGTAGCAAAACCAAAAGATAACACCACTTGTTGAGAAAAAGTGAAGAAAAATAAGAACGACACAAATCCAGAAGAACACGAAGATTTAACGAGGTTCAGCAAAGATGCCTACGTCCTCGAAAGTAGAGTGACGACCTTTTCACTAATCTAGAAAAGTACATAATACAAAATATGAGGTGTAATACTTAGGGTTACATACAGACATATTTATAACGCTAGAAAGAACATAAAAAAAAAATATTAGGTACAATATGTAATTACTAAATTACACCTGTACCACAACCCCAACCCACATAAGGAAACTCCCCTGATTTGGATAGAATCTTCCGCTCTGCTCCGCTTCTGATTTAGCACGATCTATTTATAGTATATGAGCCATATCTAACATCAATAAAAGACAACTAACAATTCAGCAACAATACAACATCCCTGGATAGATTGAACAACAAATTCACTTAGAACACAGAATAGCAACAAATCCACATTAGCAAAGATCAGCAACTCTTATAAGACATCTTAAGGGTAATAAATTTGTAAGTCGACAAAGAGAGCAGCCATCAAAAGAAAAGAAAAAAATAATTTGAAAAGAAAGAAATAAGAAATAATACACAAACTAAACAAACTTTATAATTGAAAACTCATTTAGAGTGAACAAACAATAAAATTGAGTTTTGAACTTACCTGATAATGAATATTAAAATTCTGTCTAAAGTTAAGAAATTGATTGAATTTTAAGGAAGGCTGATGTTTATTAACTCTCAATATCAAATTTTAGCAAAAAATGAAGATCAAGTAGTAAAAATTACTGTAATAAGCAATAATTACTAACAACAAATAAAGAACAACGCAACAAAAACAATAACCACAACCTCAAACAACACCAACAAAAAAACCTTAAAAATGGAGAGCAAGAACAAAGCCAAAAATATTGAACCAAAGATCTCAAAAAAATAAAAAAAAAATAAAAACAGAAAAATCTTATTAAATTACATTCCTTATAAACTTTAGAATATAAAAATATATTTTGAAAATTGGTTAAGATAATTAAATCTACATACCAAATCTCAGCAAAAAAGTAAAGATCAAAGAGTAGTAAATATTTTGATTAATAATGAAGTCTCCAAAAATATAATCAAAATCCAATATATAAATAAAAAATAATAATAGTTAATAAAAATAAAATCATTTCAAATCATAAGCGATAAATAAACATAGAGGAAACACGAATCTAATAGTAACTAAAAAAAAAGAATGAAAAAAGAAGAAGAAGATATTGAAGAACAAGAGAATTAATGCCATAATATTATCACAAAATCAGAGAATTGATTGCTTCTGGGGAGATACTTTTGCAGAAGGTTCATACTGATGAGAATGCAGCTGATATGTTGATCAAGTCAGTTACCATCAATAAGTTCTTGCATTGCTTGGACTTGTTGAATGTTTGCACTTGCTAGAGATGCATGGTGGCCCAACCCACTTCTGGTATGTAAGGAACTCCATGATGTATTTCTCCTAAGGGGTTGGATATTCGCCAAGGTGGAGATTTGTTAGATATGACTCATATACCATAAATGGACAGTGCTAAATCCAGAGCGGAGCAGAGCGAAAGATTCTGTCCAAATCAGAGGAGTTTCCTTATGTGGGTTGGGGGTGTGGTACAGGGGTAATTTGGTAATTACATATTGTACCCAATGTTTCTTTTTTATGTGTTTCTTAGGGTTATAAATTAGGTTTGTATGTAACTCTAGGGATTATCTCTGAATCCTTGAATTTCGTATTTTGTATTCTCTTTTCTGAATAGTGAAATGCCACCGCTATGCTCCCGAGGACGTAGGAATCTTTGCCGAACCTCGTTAAATCTCTGTGTTCTTCTGAATTTGTGTCGATTACTGTTTTTCTTCGCCCTAATTTTCTCAACACCATATTTCATGTTGGTAATCTTCACCATGATTGCATCTTGTACAGCAATTTATTGTGATTTCAGGAACCATTCTTTTCTATGCCTTTTTTGTTTCTTATGTAATTCTCAATGCTCATGTCTACAAACTTAATAGATTATCTGTCGCATCGGACGCCCAAATAATTCGAATTGAACAAAGGGAATATATAAGATACCTTCGGATGTGGTCTCTCACTCTTTTTGGTCTAGTTTCATTGGAGGAAAATAATGAATCACAAACTAGAATAAGAATAGAAGGGAATGAAGAAACAAAAAAAAAATGCAGCAAAACCAAAAGATAACACCAATAAAAGACAACTAACAATTCAGCAACAATACAACATCCCTGGATAGATTGAACATTAAATTCACTTAGAACACAGAATAGCAACAAATCCACATTAGCAAAGATCAGCAACTCTTATAAGACATCTTAAGAGTAATAAATTTGTAAGTCGACAAAGAGAGCAGCCATCAAAAGAAAAAAAAAAATTTAGAAAAGAAAGAAATAAGAAATAATGCACAAACTAAACAAACCTTATAATTGAAAACTCATTAGAGTGAACAAACAATAAAAATTGAGTTTTGTACTTACCTGATAATGAATATTAAAATTCTGTCTAAAGTTAAGAATATATAAATATATTATGAAATTACTTGAATTTTAACGAAGGCTGATATTTATTAACTCTCAATATCAATTTTTAGCAAAAAACCAAAAAAATGAAGATCAAGTAGTAAAAAATACTGTAATAAGCAACAATTACTAACAATAAATAAAGAACAACACAACAAAAACAATAACCACAACCTCAAACAACACCAACAAAAAAACCTTAAAAATGGAGAGCAAGAACAAAGCCAAAAATACTGAACCAAAGATCTCAAAAAAAAAAAATAAAATAAAATAAAAAATAGAAAAATCTTATGAAATTACATTCCTTATAAACTTTAGAATATAAAGATATATTTTGATAATTAAATCTACATACCAAATCTCAGCACAAAAGTAAAGATCAAAGCGTAATAAATATTTTGATTAATAATGAAATCTCCAAAAATATAATCAAAATCCAATATTAACAGACTGATAAATAACAAATAATAATAGTTAATAAAAATAAAATTATTTTAAACCATAAGCGATAAATAAACACAGAGGAAACACGAAGCTAATAGTAACTAAAAAAGAAAGAACGAAAAAAGAAGAAGAAGATATTGAAGAACAAGAGAATTAATGCCATAATATTTTTAGGTAAATTCTTATTAAATTTTCAATTCTTATTTTTATAAATTATCATCCAATGAATATTATAAATAAACATAATCAATAAGTGTGAATTTATTTTTAAAAATCATAACATATTTTTTATTTTCAAATAAAATAGATAGTTATTTGCAAAACAAGTAGATGATATCTCTTTTGAATTTTACATGAAATATCGACAGAGTGACATAAAACTTGAAAGATATTAAGAGTAATAAAGGATATTAAACTATCTAATCACACCACTTGCTTTCATTCCTCCAAAGATAAGAATTACCAAAAGAAATGGAGATTTTACCAATATCATTAATAAGATTAACATGAGCATTCATAAAAAGATCAAAGTTTCAATAATTATTTCTAAGAACATTGCCAATTTTAGTTGCATTAGGAAGACTCTTAAACTTTGAGTTATAAAAGAAAAATAAATGACTAGTGAATTAACTTTAAAATTTAAAGAAGGTCTAATTCTATTAGTCATGTTTATTAAATCTTTCAAAAAAGGAGAAACTTTG